CCAAATTTAGTCACACAAAGGGGCCTGCGAGGGAAAAAAGAAAGGATGAAAGCGGCAGCCGCCCGGACTTCAAAGGCCGCGCCGCCGCGCCGTGTCCTGCGCAGGCGCCGCCCTCCACAGATATAAGGCGAAACTAGCGCGCGGGCGGCCTCTCCGCGCCGCTGCCCGGCGCGCGTCCCCGGCCGGAGGGTGGGCGGGGGGTTCCCGCAGGGGAGTGAGGGGCGGGATCCCTGCGCCACCCGCGGGCTGCCCGAGGCCTATCCTCAGCCAAGTTAGGGCGCTTGAGAAAAGTTCTCAGAACGTAGGGGAAGGCTGTCGCGTCCAAGCGCCCTAGGCGAGCGGTGCTGAGGCCAGCCAATTTATTCCAGCTCCCACTACACTCTATTTCGGGGGTCCCCCTTCCAGACGAAATGCCAGCTCTGTACCTGATCCCGGGCCCCTCGCGGCTTCCCATCGCCGAGCAGAGCAGGGAGGGCGCGTGGCAGGGCTCTCCGTGGTCCAGACCGGGCCACCCCCCCACCCCGTTCCGCACCCCGCCAATGCCGTCGGAGAGGGTCTGCCAGCGAGCCCACAGAGGATGGGGTGGGCCGTGGCCCTCCCTCACAGGCCGTGGGCGGACCGGGACCCTGAGCTGGCGCCCCTGGGGCCCCAACCCAGCGAGACCAGGACGCCAGGCTCGGCCCGCACCCGCACCCGGCGCGGGAGAAGCCCCCGAGGGCTGAAGCGGGCACCGTGGGCGGACCCGCCGGTCGGCGCTGGCCGGCGGAAGCCGGGTGTCCGCAGGCGGCCGGATTTGGGAACGACATTTTTACGGTCCCACGAGTTCTCTATTGCCCCGGCGGGTGGGGGGGTTGAGTTTGTTTGTGTTTGGAGGAGAGGAGGCGGAAGAACCCCTGGGACACAAACTGCCATTTCCCTCGCCCTCCCCTCTCCCTTTCCCCTTAGCCCGTTAAACTGAAGGTGCGCACAGCTTTCAGTCTCCGGTGAGGCTGCAGTGGAAAATCCGGGGTGCCCGACGGAGTTCCCTCTCTGCAATCACGTTCCTCGTTTTTCTAATCCTTAGCCCTCGGTTCTCTCTTTCCGAGCATCCTCTTCCGTGCGCCCCGCCACCCCCTTCCTTCGGGATCCCAGCAGAGTTGCAGCTCGCTGGGAGCGAGTCCAGGCCGCACAAAGGGGAAGACCCAGAGCTTGAGTGGGGCGGGGGTTAGGGACCGCGGGGGCGGAGAGGGCTCTGAAGGGCACCGCGCTTTTTCTCTCCTCCCTGTAATTAAGGACTCGCTTTAGTGTTTGTAGCTGACTCGGTTTGGCAGCAAAATCGCTGGGGTGGGGGTGGACTCCGGTGTGGGTGGGGGGTCATTCTCCTAGTTCCCCCGCCGGCACTCGCGGGGAGCTGAGCCCAGCCTGCCCTCGGGGCAGCGGGCCGCGTCTCCGCTCCCCCTCCCTGGGTTCCGGCGCGGGGTGGGCGCCTCGCCCCCCACGCGCAGCCCTGCCTGCGGCGCCCAGCGCAATAGGAAGTGTTGATATAAAACAAGTCACTGTTCGCTCGCTCCCAAACTAAACCCCAACCAACCGAAGCCACCAAGAGGGGAAAAACCAACAGCAATCCAGCCAGCCCCTAGCAATTGTTTCACGGTCGGAATTAAATCACTTCAAAACGCCCCCTGAAACCCACATCCTGAAGGAGTGAACCTGCAACAGCCAACCTCCAGTCGTTCGCTCGAGTTCACACGAACAACCCGCCTCTACATCCGAGGGAAGGGGGCGGTGGGGCGGCGGCGTTTCTCCCGCACCGCACCCACCACATCCCGGACTTGCACCCCAAGAGGCGGCTGTATATGCTAATAGCAGCCCCCACACGAATTAGAGGAGACCTGCTGGCAAAAGAAATACCTTTGCCTGGAACTTCACGCAGCCTGAAGGGAGAAAGGATCGCCCTCCTAAGAGTCACTTCGCCCCTCTTGCGCCCTCACCCCTTTCCCCGGAGAGACAGAACTTCGTGTGGAAATGTCAACCTCCTTCCCAGGCAAAGCTTTTGAAAACTTGGTCGAACGTTTCCTAGTAAAACAAGCTCCTTTAAAGACATTTGCAACAGTGCTCAGGACAATCAGCCAACATCTCGCACGCCATAGGGAAGGAAATCAGTCACGCACACAGAGTCGGGCATCGGGTGATTTCCAGGGTTACGGCCAAGTACTAAAAGCAGGCACCCACCCTCGGCCCTTTTAGTAAACAGTTCCCACTAGTTAGTGTTCCCCAAATTCCCATCTTCTCGAGTGCCTGATCTCCAGGACACCTGGAGTTGAGTTCCAGATGACTCAGGGAGTCCAGATAATTAAGGAGAAGGAGAGAATGGGATTCGAGTGAGTTGCCACACTTAAACGAGGGCAGGGGGGTAAAGTACGGGGTCGTCATTGATCTTTTTCGGCTTCCAGAAACTACATTCTGGCCATGCCGTGTGCCCCCTCTCCCTCCTCCAGTTTGAGGAAAAGGAACTTCCACCCTGGCTGCTTTGGTGAAGCTGCCTTTTTCCAGTTCTTTTTTGTCGGCAAATTGGCCCTTTTGTGAAGGGACTTTTGACCCCCACCCCATATTTCTTTTTGGAAACGGTGTAAATGTCTGACGTAGCTACATGTTCCCATTTCTAGGACCTTGTACTCACACTGGCACACAGCTTCACGGGAAATTGCATATGAACGCCAATCAAAAAATAAAATTGTTTTCTTTCCAACCTCTTCAGTATTGCCATATAGACACATTGCAGCAGAACACTTCTTTTAATTTTTCTTCTCTAAGGCATAGCATTGTCAGCTATGCAAAGTGGCTTTAGTGTTTCACTCTTCCTGGTTCCCTTCACCAGCCCAATGTCCCCGGAAAGAATGGCGAGAGAATGGCTACTCGCCATTCTCTATGTGACCTAGAGAACCCTTTAAATGATAGTTTTTAAATTTGCTTCCTAGAAAACCCCCATCCCCAGGAAGCAGTCACCAGTAGGTGCAGTTTTAGGTGCTCATTTAGAGCACTGTTGTCAGTGTGTGGCAGCAGGGGTTCCCTCCTAGGAAAAGAAGAGGGGTCTTCGCCTGACTGTTCCTGTATGGTAGAGCTAAAGTCGGATTCTTTAGTATTTTCCTTATTTTCAAATTGAGGGAGATGTGGACACATTTCTTCCTGCCCCATGTTTACTGTTCTGAGGTTTTTACAGATGGCTACTGTATTGGGTATAATAATTTCGCCTGGATTTTTAACTGAGAGGGGTTTGAGAGCCAGGGAACAAAATGTAATGTGTTTTCAAACTTCAGCTTCGCTTATACTGTCACTTTCACAAAGCATCTCCTTAAAAGTCCTGTCCTTGCATAAAATGCATCAGAGAGACGGTGGAGACTGGAGAATGTGTGGGGTCGGATTCGGACTGGCAACTCCAAGGGTCCCTTTGAGCAGGCAGTCGGATGGGCCAGGAACTGCGGATCTTTTCTCCCTCTGCCGGCCGGGCTCTCCTGGGTCCTTCTGCCTCCTCGTCCTCCTCCCTCGGTTGCTTTTTCATCCTCGGTGACATTCCCACACATTGTGGGTGTAATTCCGAAAATCCAGGAGAGACCTAGAGTGACTCTCTATGTACATCACATGGTGAGGATGTAATGTAATAGATCTAATTTAAAAAGCGATAATTAAGATCTTCAGTTTTTTTTCTTCCTCGTCCTATATCACTCTCGGTAAGCCTGGAGATTTTATTTTTGCTAGCGTGTGATCCCTTGTCCTTTGGCATTACATTTAGGAAAGCCACAACTCTCTCCCTTGTCCTTGCTTCCGTTCACTCGTGAGTTGAGCGATGTCTGTTATATTCTCTTTTGCCTTCTTCTCTCTGTCCGATTCCCGCCTCATCCGCTCGGTCAGAGCATCTATCAATGTGGTGTCGATCACAGCTGCGGCGGCTTCTCTTTCATCTTCCTCCCCTTGCCAGAGCCGGGCGGGGGCGGGGGTAGAAAGGGAGGCAGCAAGGAGGTGTGCGTGAGACTGCAGAGGAGGGGGTGGGAAGGAGGTAACAAGAAAAGAGATACTTAGATGATGAAGTTAAACCATTCGGGGAGTTTCTTGTCATTTCACGCAGGCAAAGCCTGACTCTCAATGGGTAACAAGAAGAGTCCGGTCCTTCCTTCCTCTGCCAAATTGCCTGATTCTTCCCTCCAGGAGCGCGCGCGCACACGGACGCGTGCGCGCACACACAAACACACCCTAAAACTAGGACTCGTCTTACAGGCTCTGGGAAAGGAAAAAAAAAAAAGTCCTCAATCACCACCTCCACTCGCGGTCCCCCTCCCCCCCCCCCCCACGAGCAGCCAAGGAGAGCTGGAGGCGGGGGATGGGAGGGGGAGGAGGAGACGCAAATGGGTAGCTTTTCAGCGCCAGCGAGGCGCGCGGGGAGGAGAAGCGGTGGGTAGGCACAGCCGCTCACCTGCGGGGCAAGGCGCGTTGGAGGGACCCAGGCTACGTGCTCTCCGGCCAAAGGCCCGGGACGCACCCGAATCCCGCACACACGGCCAAGCCCGCGGCGTCCCCTCCCCTTGGCCGGGAGAATCCGAGGGGTGCAGCTCTTTGCTTTGACAGGGAGGCCCAGCGGAGGCGTGGAGAGCGGCGAGCGAGACAGCCCGCGAGCCAGGCTGAGAAATTCGAGCCGGGAACAAAGAGGGGTCGAGCTCTGAGCGTGTGTGTCGGCTCCAGCTCCTGGAAGAAGCAGTTGGGTTCGAGGCCCCTGCTGTGACTCTCCGAGACCCCGCCGTGCCCTCCACTGCCGACTCCCAGAGCTCGACGGCACAAACTTTATTCTTGGCAAACTTCTCTTTCTCTTCCCCTCATCCTCCGCCCCCACCTCTTTCTCCTCCTCTTCCTCCTCCTCCTCCACTAGCAGATTAAACGCGCCTGGAGAAGGAAAACCGAATGGGAAGCGAATGGGAAGGAAATAAGCTCTAAAGAGGACATCTCCAACCCGAGAACTCTTTATTATTATTATTTTTTACCCTCCAGGAAGCGGACATTTCGTTATCTTCTGATTCTCCTTGCACCTTTGCCGCTGGGTCAGACGGAGCCTTTTTTGCTCAGTTCTCCGTTTTTCTCGGAAAACCAGTTCCCAAGGCGGCATTCGACTAGGGTAGAAAGGCTTGCGTAGAGACGCGCCGACGGACCCTGTTCCGCACTTTGGAGAGTCGTGCCTCGCCAGAACCGGCGCCCTCGGCGCGCGTCTGCTGGGGGCGTGGGGTGGCCGCCAGGGCAGCGGAGCCTAGAGCACGCCGCGCCGCGCCACTGTCCGCAGAAGCGCCGACTGCTGGGCCCTCGCAGCCCGGTGCCCATCGGCCTCCAGAGCGGGCGCAGGCGTCAGTCTTCGCGGAGCGGGAAGGCACGGGCGGCCTCCGGGACTCCGGAGCCACTGCAGCTGCTCCGGCTGCGGGCCGCCGGCCCCGCGCTAGCCGACCTCGCTTCTGCCCCGTCTTACCTCACGCATCCTTCCAATTCTTCTTTCCTCCCCCCTTTTCGTTGACCCCCTCTTTTCCTGCTGTCGCCTCGAGTGCTCCCCCAGCAAAGCGGAGATTACAGAGTGGTCGGGATGCCCCAACTCTCCGGGGCGGGCGGCGGCGGCGGCGGGGGCGACCCGGAACTCTGCGCCACGGACGAGATGATTCCCTTCAAGGACGAGGGCGATCCCCAGAAGGAGAAGATCTTCGCCGAGATCAGTCACCCCGAAGAGGAAGGCGACTTAGCCGACATCAAGTCTTCCTTGGTTAACGAGTCCGAAATCATCCCGGCCAGCAACGGACACGAGGTGAGTGGGCCGCTGCCCGAGCGCCGAGCGGCGTGGCGGGTCGCGGGATGGAGCGGCGAGCGAGAGAGGCGGGGCAGGCACCAGGCAGCCTCGGCGGCAGTCCCTCGTGGGTCCCTCGTCTGCTGGAGTGTGGATGAGCCCCTGGTCATCCTTCCTCCTTTGTGTGTGTGTGTGCGTGCGTGCGCGCGCGTGTTGGGTGGGAGGTGGAGAGCTGTGCAGGGAAACTTATTCCAAGTGGATCCGTTTAGGGTTAGGTGGCTAAACCGTTGGTTTGCGGGCGGAGAAGTTGGCCTTTAGCACACAACGTTTGTCCTTCGGACTTCTCACTGGCATTCAGAGGATGCCATGCTCTAAAGCGAGGATGTCTGAAGTGAGAAGTTTGCCGTAGGACGGAAAACAAAGTGCATCCGCTATCTCGGTAGAGATCTCTGCAAAAAATGCGTTAAACCACCACCAAAGGCTTAGGTAGAGACGAGCAGAGCCACAGGCGGAGAGGAAGGGGAGGCGGGCGTGGGCCGGGGACAGGAGGGGCTGGCCCAACCGCCGCTGAGCTGGGCTCGTGCGAAGCCGACCTGCCGTGGGGGCGCGCGCCCTGGCAGCTGGGGCAGTGTGGGGCGCGGTCCCCGCGGCCGCCGGAGTCCCAGCGCCCGGCCCACTGCCCAGAGCCGTGGGCGCGCTGAACCGAGCCACCCCCTCGCAGTTCCTCCCGCAACACTAGATTTCTCCAACCCGCGTCGCTTAAAAAGCTCTTATATTTGGGGTTAATTTGGGCCCGGATCAGGCCTTAAATCTACACCGAAGACAGGAGAGTCAGAGTGGTGCTGGGGCGGAAGCCAGGGCACCCACTCAGGGGAGGGTGGAAAGCGCTTTATCAGATCTCCTGGCCCGTGGCGGGCGATAGCGCTGGTAACTGGAGTAGAGTAAATAGAGACACGTGGGTGCCAGCGGGAGCAAGCCGCGAGCGGGGACCCCGCGGAAGGGCTATTTAAGGCCACTGTAGAGCTGCAGAAAGGGGTGGGGTGGGCGGATGGACCCTGATACCGGACACTCCACTGGCCACCCTAGTTCGACTGCTGGGAAACGCTTTGAAGGAAATCCGGTAGAAGTGTTCTGACACTCAGATGATTTCAACAACGATTCTTCCCTCCAAAGAAACTTGGAGGGTATACCCTTTTCCCTTAAATGGCATCCTTCTGCCCCCAAAAAGAAAGCGTGTGGTTTTGGGGGCGGGGGCATTTTTGGTTTTAAACAACGCGTTTAAGAACACCTCAGAGTTACCTTCTTTATTCCGATGGCAGGGGTGAGTACGCCTTTTAAAATGGAAGAATGGGACCTGGGTTCTAAGGAGAACATATAAGGGTGTTCTTTAACCTCTGAATCTTTCTTCCCATTATGCCAATTTGAGGGGGACTTGGTGGTGGGAGATAGGGTGAACCCAGCCCCATTTACATGGTTTGTGACTGTGTGTATTCAGGGGGAGGAAGTCTTGGGGGTGGGAGGATGACATGTCCAAAGAACAGCAACAACAACAACAACACAACAACAACAAAAAACAGCCAAACACTCAGGCCAAACTCTCATACTTGTGGAGGAGCCTCTATTTCTTCCTACCCATGTTGCTCTCCTTCCTTATTTTATAAATGAATTTGCCACCATTTCACATTTTCTGCATGTTTCTGCTCTGGGGAAAAGGGTGCTGTATTTGAAGCCCAGAATCCAGGTGTTAGGGCTCAGTCAGTCTTGGTCCTGGAGGTAAATGGGCATGGGGCAGCCCGGAGGAAGATGGTGAAGAGGGTAATACCACTGATTTGCACGTGGTTGAGCCTGGGTGGATGGTGGTTACCAGAACTGATATTAGCTGGGCTACCTTTTAGATGTCTATAACCCAACTCTCAAATTTTCCTTTCTTTAACCACAGAGTAGTTTACTTTTCTCTTGTAAGCTTGCACTCAGCCAGCCATGGTAGCTTACAAGGAATGGAGCTCCTGCTGGGTCTGGCTTGGGACAGTGGCCTTAAGCCCCCATCTGGGAGTGGTTGGCCTGTTTTTATTTAAAATGTCATTTTCAGTTGCAAAGTGATATTTCAGCGTGCTTTTAATCAGCTTTGATTGAAGTGAACAGTGGTTGAAGAAGCTATCAAAATGATCAACGGCATTGATGCAAACTCCTATCATATTGGGCATCCAAATAGCCTTGATGCATTTTAGCAAACAGCAGTCAGAGCAGCATGTGGATATTTCCCAAATTTACTATATTGTTATTGTTTTCCTCTCACTATTTATCCTTTTTCTACTGCTGGGTAAAATAATAATGATTCAGAAATACATGTTGAAAAGAAAAAGATTTTCCAGTACTTAACCCTAGCCTCCACCTCTTTAGGTTACTAAAGCAGCTGATTGAGTTGCACCTAACCCTCCTCCTTTAAGTTACCAATTGACACACATTTATATTAGTATTGTCACAAACTCTAAGGTGTTTTTCTTTCTTTTGGGGGTGTGGATTCATGCTGTTAGGTGGCCAGACAAGCACAAACCTCTCAGGAGTCCTACCATGACAAGGCCAGAGAACACCCTGATGATGGTAAGACTTAATTCTACTTCTCTCAACTTAATCATTTAACACGTGCAATTTGTGATTGTAGGTACATTTTGTTATTTTGAGTCCCCCCCCAAAAAATGGGATCAAGCCCTGACTGGCATAGCTCAGTGGATTGAGCGTGGGCTGCGAACCGAAGTGTCCCAGGTTCGATTCCAGTCAGGGTACATGCCTGGGTTGCAGGCCACAGCCCCCAGCAACCGCACATTGGTGTTTCTTTCTCTCTCTATCTCCTTCCCTTCCCTCCCTAAAAATAAATAAAATCTTTTTAAAAATGGGATCAGATGTGATAAGACTGTGCCCACTCTTTTTAATAAAATGGGGGGTGGGGACCCAGGAAATGTAATGCTTATCTTTAATGTGTATTTATATAATTTTAAAACTGTCTTTGAATAAGTTGGGTGCCTTTGGATTTCATTTGGCTTCCAGATTTTTTGTGGAAGAGGAAATAATGAGTTTTCCTCTTTTTCTTATTTTACCTACAGTTTTAATTGGCTTAGATCTTTAGTATTTGTTCCTGCATTGTTATAAAGAGTGACAGTCTAAACCAATTTATTTTCTAACTTGAATAGTTTCACACGGATTTTCATTTGTTAAAATGCTATTTCCACTTACAGTAAGAAAGCAAACAGAGAATGCACAGAATAAAGCAGAATGCTCAGTAAAGCAGAATGTGATTTGTAAAAATAGAAAACTTCATTTGTAAAATTAGAAGCTATGCATATGAAACATGATAATGTGACTTCCTCCGCATTTTTGATTCTTGCTCAAAACTTTAACAATTGGACATATATTTTTTAGATTTAGGGAAAACTCTGTGTGACTTTAAAAGAATCAAAGAATCTGTAGAGTTGCCTTGTCAGATGGTCAGCTTTTCTGTTCTCTTTTGATTATTTGCAATTGGCCTGACCAGAACGAGGTGTTTGTACATACAGTGTGTCAGCCAGAGAAGAAAGGGAGAGAACTATAATATCAGGCTTCTTTCTGAGCTACAAAGTAGTTATACAGGTTAAAGAGAAGAAATGTATATACTGAACACATGGAAATTGCTTTGGAAAAATGATGTAAGAGTAACACGTAAAATTAAGCTACTGGAATTACTCCTTATAAATTTGGGTAATCCCTCATGTACTAGTTACAGCTCTCTTCCTTGGTAAAATCTAGAAATTTTCTAGAAATCTAGAAGCACAGGTAGGATTTTCACATTTGCTATAAGGTAGAGAGTAACTTTAAGTGTATAAATATATACGTGTGTGAATAGCTAGATGGTCTAATGTATTCATATTACAGCTTTAGGTTTGTGTATGTTCTTTCATGTGTCTCTTTTTTTAGTCCAGCTTGTTGGTATCCGAACAAATTAAATTAGAGGGATAACACTTATTTTTGTAAAAACACCAGTCAGTAGTAGTAGTAAATTGAAACACATGTTTTTAAAACATCTGGTTCCCTGCTAATTTCATTTAAGAGAACAAATACTATCAATCTAAAATAGAGCATAATAATTCAGTTACAATGTTTTGTAAACAACTGTTTTATGAAAGGCCTGATTTGTCATGGAACTAGCTGATTTTCAAATAAAAAACAGTAATATAAAAAGGAAGCCAGTGCATCATCAATTGTTCTTTGGACTCTCTCAGGGAAGCATCCAGATGGAGGCCTTTACAACAAGGGACCCTCCTACTCGAGTTATTCCGGGTACATAATGATGCCGAATATGAATAATGACCCATACATGTCAAATGGATCTCTTTCTCCACCCATTCCAAGAACAGTGAGTAACATGCAATCTATAACATGTTGCAGATTGTTTTCAAAAGAGCAAATTGATTTGTATTTTGTCAAAATTTTTTTAAACACATTGGAAATGCTTTTTATTATATATGACCACTCATTGCTAAATAGGATCTGTTATGAGGAATGGCTTCCTTAAAAGAGTTCCAACTTGGATGTCTTGTATTTGGAATTTTATCCTTTGGCTTATTGGGTTAAGATTAATAATAACATACCGCCAGTTTTCATGAAATTAAGTGAAGTCAACAGATTTATAATTTTATGAGTATTTTGTTTTCTGTGCTGATGAGAGGGAAAAAATGACTTACTCTTTCAGTTAGCTGAGTATTATACAGCTTTCACTGCCCTGGAGCCATCCAGCATCAGAACTCGTTTGGCTCATCTAGAGCTGAACATTCAGAATGTTACTTCAGCTTCTAAAACGATGTCCTCCTTGCATTGTATTAGCTATTGTTTCTTTAATATCAGTTGGGATGAGCTATTTTTTACTTTATTGTCAACTGTTCAGAAAAGATCACTTGAAGATAACCCTGTGAAAATGGTTCTTTTTGTCTTGTGGTTCAGTTAACTTTTAAAGTTGTAAAAATGCAATGACATTATAACTGCATGGTGCAAATGCATAACACTATAAGGAATTCCAGATCTGTTAGTTGATGGTCTTTCTCTTTTGCTGGGAAGTGGAAACTTCATTTATATAAAGCAAGCATCTACAAGGGAACACGTAGTATGGGAACGTGAGGTGTGCTGGTGTTGGGGTGATCCCTGAAAACCATCCCTGGAGCAGTGGAGATTGCTTTTTACTGGTCCATCAATACACTTACACCTTCACTCAATCTCACTCTGGCTCCACCACCTAAAACCAACGAGAAGCATGTATGTCTGGGTCTTAGGGATTAGAGTTTTCCATTCTTCCTGGCTCTGCCTGAAGTCAAATTCTGATAGTAAAAAGGAACCTATGATTTTTGCCTTCTTAGCCCAGTTCTTTCACTAAGTGAAAAAAATTAGCCACAATCATCTGGAGAAAGTAGTGTCATTAATACCTCAGTGAACAGAATCTGGGGTCAAGAAGATTCACCAAAATTGCCAAGAGGAATGGCTCATACTCACAAGAGTATTGGTGGTTATCTTAATTACCTACAGTACTCAGTTGTTGGAATTATAGGTATATGAAATATAACTATTTTATGTGGGCACTGTAAATCTGTATTTTTCCACAGATTTCAAAGAGATATTTGACGTTTTGTGTAGGGAATAAGATTTTTCTAGTTTTCATGTCACGACTACAGTGGCGATCTTGGAGATCTCATGATGGTTGCTTTAGGTGATAGCAATTTCACATGTTATTTTAAAAGTCTTTTTAAATATGTAATGGTAGAGATGCCTATGTGGTGAATATGAATCTCCTACCTAAAAAGTGAATGAACTAATAAAAACAAACATAGTTTAATATTTAGAAGCCATTCCCAAATAAATGCTTCTTTAAGTTTTAAAATTTGTAGGAGAGTTTGTGTTTCTTGAACTGAACGTGCAAACATACCAGATATTTCTTTTATAACTTGGATATTTTGTTTTGCTGGGGTTTTTTTAGATGAATGTGGAGAATATGTTTTAGATAAGGAATAATTGAAGATTACTGTTGAAAGCCTTCTTAGAACAACAAATAATCTTTCTGACAAATCTAGATTATAGTCTCTGACTTGTTAAACAATAGAAAGTAGCCACTAAAACAATCTTATACTTTTCAAAGCTGTGCACACAGTTCATGCTTAATGAGTATTTGTGGGGACTTGTTCCATAGTGCAGCTACTTCTTCGTTCAAAACATTTTTAAAGACAATATAATAAAAATCTGTTGGTATTTATAAATGATCCCTACTAATGTTGAAAATCATTTCTCCTTTTTTCTTTCAATGAGCAGTTTCTTCCTTCAGCATTTCTCTCCAACGTCCCCCGACCCCTGTATATTAATCATTTTGAAATTTCGATAGAAAATGGAAGGTATTTATTATTAGTGTATGTATTGAAATTTTGAGGTCAGTAAATTGAACAGCCATTCATTATTTAGGAAAGATTTGTGGCCAGAGTAAATGTTGGTGGGTGTAGAGTGGAGGAGAGAGGGGTGTGGTCAGGAAACAGTTACTTTACACTCTCATCTGCTGCTCTGCTTTATTCTGTTACATTTTAGGACATATTTATTTCAGGCACATTTTCTTGCAGATATTTTGCAGTTTGCACAATTCCAGAAGCTTTTCTGATTTAACCACAAGGCTATGTCAAATTTTTTAATTTAAGGTCCCACCGAAATGAGTTGCAATCTTTGGTGTTTAATATCTAACAGCTGTTTTTAACGTATCTGAGACCGGAGACACTGTAACCGGAAGGCAGCCTCTCTCCATCGCCCCTAACCACACTTCTGCCTTCTCAATGTCTAACTCTGTCCGTAGCAGGAGTGTTTGTGTAACTGACATCCATGGTGATAGGTTTTTATCTGGGGTGTCAGGAGCAGGGTGACCATTTGTGTTTGGACTTAAGGTGGAAGCAGCCCTCAGGCATTTCTTTACTGGAATTTGCATTACAAACAACTGCTTGTTTACTGCATCTGCCACCTGCAGGTGTTACGGCTAGAAAAACATCTGGGGGTGGGGGAAGGTCCTGACTGCCCCTTCCCACACAGAATCTTCCATTGTTAGTAACTGCAGGTAGTCCGGAGAAGACCCACTAGGGCCACAGGCAGGCACAGAAATGTTTCTGCTGGTAGCTCATTCTGACAATTCCGTGTGCTTTTCCTCTTTTTTAGACAAACACTGACATGTATGATCACACAGCTTTTACAATACTTATGACCTAAGTACAGGATTACCTACTCAGGAGAACCACCCTCGCCAGTCCAGCTTTTTTCCTTCAGGAGGGACATTTTAATGGGCTAATTACACCCTTCCACAACTGGAATTCTTAGTGGTGTGTCTATACCACAAATCTTACAATTGGGTGTTTCACCGAATTTTAAATAAGAATTCTTAATTCAGATCAAATGGACCTAACAAGAAAGTACCTATAATGAAAACCCATTTGGTGTCAAGCAAGAGTGAGTTCTCAAAGCCCAGTAAACCTTGGCTTGTTGTCATAGAGAGTGCGAAGGAGATGCAGGAGCCTGTTCGACACATTAGAGCAAAGACCCTGGCGACTGTATTAAAAGCATACGCTCAAGGCTTTCTTTCTCTAAGTCTCCTTTATGATAATCTACGTAGGCCAATGGTAAAGGTTAATATTAAAAGAATAAAATAGTTTGTTTCCTCCTTTGTGGAGTCCTGGCATTTGTATGCCTGAGTACCGTGTGAGCAGTGAGCTGGGCTGGCTTTAACCCAGTGAAAGTTCCCACTGGCCTACTGCACTGTGGTTATTCATCTTAGGTGTCAGGCTTCCATTTGTCCCTCACACTACCCAAATGTTTAACACCTTTGAAGGGAAACATCTCATGTCTCTTCAGCTGCTTGGGGGAGGGAAAAGCAGCAGGCTTAGTGCAGGAAGCAGCGAGTGTGCAGCTGGGTCCCACCGACCACAGGAGCACCTGGGCAGCACAGCGCTGCTGGCCCTGTGTTGGTTTCTCTGTGATCTTTCTGAATGGATCTTTACGTGGGAAAGGAAGGTGTTTGTTTGCATTGTATCTTTCTTATTTGTATTAGACGCTGCTATTAAAATGTTTCAGGGGTTCCTTTTTCATTATTTCCAACAACTCATGAGTTTGGGTTCTAATGTATAGTTTTTACCTCAAGGGAGTCAACATTTGGATATCTGATGAACAGAATTATACCTCTCATACGCTTGTCTTAACCTCCCCTCTGCCCCTTGTTTGTATTTGCTTACAAGCAGCTGAAATTTGATTTCTGTCATTGCTCCCATCTGGAATTAAGGAACTAAGGTGGATATGTCTAATCAGTAAGCGTTCACTTAAATCACTGTACATCGCATTCGTGTAGCTTTGAAGATAATCAGAGAAATAATAATTCAAGGGTAGAGGAGACTATGGCTTATATTTTGAGCAAGATTTTGTTAAAAGATTTTATTTATTTATTTTTAGACAGAGGGGAAGGGAGGGAGAAAAAAGGGAGAGAAACATCAGTTTGTGGTTGCCTCTCATGTACCCCCAACCAGGGACCTGGCCTGCAGCCCAAACATGTGTCCTGACTGGGAATCAAACCATCAGCCCTTTGGTTTGCAGGCCAGCACTCAGTCCACTGAGCCACACCAGCCAGGGCCTAAGCGAGATTTTTAAGAGAGTATGTCTTGCCACTTCACTGCAAGGAGCTACTTAATTTTACTTACTGACAAGTTACTTTTAATTTTCTGATCTAAGTTGTACACTTTTTGAAGCTAAGCATATTAAATTTTCCTCTTTACCTCAACTGCAGGAGAAATTAAGTTTTAGAAAATGTGTTGTCTTTCAGATTTGAATGTAGATATCAGAAGAAAGCATGGGAAAATTCCTTAGCAGCTCTAGACTCTTCTGTTTGATTCATTCTTAACTGTACTGCTACACAGTTGGGAAAAGGTCACAATAAGAATAGCTGGATGCTACTGTCACCCTCCTTAGGCATTTATCTTAAATATCTTACGACGAACAGCTTGCTTCTCCCAGGAGCCCAGGCAGCACACTGCATGGGCCTGTGGGAGCTGGTGTATGACTGGTACTGCAAAAGTATGACCCTTATTCAGATATGTATATTTTTAAATAATCCTAGAAATTTCTTGTTTATTTATAAGTACCTGAGAACAAACCAATTTCACTAAAACAAGGCCATAAAAACAACCTGCAGAAAACCTTGCTCTTTGAAGTAACCTTCTTCTACCCCCATACAGGTCCTGGATTTACTCTTATCAACCCCATTATTTTGCTTTGGTCACGTGAGTCTTGTGGTCAAAGACTCATGTGAGATTTAACAGGACAGAGATAGGGCCCTCACAAAGGGGTCTCTCTGAACTT